CAATGATGTGGATTGCAATCCTTCTATTATTCTATTCTCGGGATATGCTGTGGTTGAAGACTTGACATTACTCAGTGGTCAGCCTGGTGATGGACTTCACTAGGCTGATTTCCCCAACAACTACCCACAATCCATCATTGACCTTGTACTCAACTAGGTGATGCAGTGAATCGAGTGCTGGATCTGGAGTCAGAAAGACCTGAGTTTAAATCCAGCCTCAGACTCTTACTAGCTGTGTGACCCTGGGCAAGTCATTTAACCTCTATTTTCCTCATCTATAAAATGAGGTTAATAATAGTGCCAACCTCCCAGGGTGGTTGTGAGGATCCAGTGAGATAATAATTGTTAAGCACAACTGTTAAGCACAGTGCCTGGCACAAAGTAAGTAAGCCCTATATAAATGCTAGTTGGCTATTATTACACAAGGCATTTTTTTAGCTTGACAGAACCAGTCAAATCAATGTGTTACATTAACAGGGTTTTAGGGTTAGCCTGGAATAAACATTCATAATTGCTTTTACTTTGATTTATTCCTTTCTGCATGCATTCATAGCCTTCTGGAACCCAGACTCATTTCTACATCATGAAACATTAGAGTAGTAATTCAGTGGAGAAGAAAATGATTACGTAGACTTTCCAAACACTTTGTGTTCCAATTGCAAGAAGGTGTTTTGCTGGTTCTCCTGATTCATAGATATCTTGATATAATGAAATGATCACTGGTTCTAGAGTCAGAGGAGCTGGTTCTAGAGTCTACCTCTGACTTACTCATATAACGTTAAGGAGGTTTCTTAACCTCCCTGAACCTCAGTACCTTACTCTGTAGAATTAGAAGGCTTGAATTAAATGGCTTCTGAGTTCCTTTATGGGGCATCTAGGTGGCACATAGAGTATCCAGCTTGAGGTCAAGAAGACTCACCTTCATGAGTTCAAATCTGGCCTCAGACAATTACTAGCCATGTGACCTTGGGCAAGTCACTTAACCCTATTTTCCTCATCTGTAAAATGAGCTGGAGAAGAAAATGGCAAACCATTCCAGTATCTTTGCCAAGAAAACCCCAAATAGGGTCACGAAGAGTTGGTGAAATGATTGAACAACAAGAGTTCCCTTCCAAAAAGGGTCCTTTAATATCACCAAATTGTATTCTGATCCTCTTTCGTCCTGGAAATTACTTTATATGTGTTTTGTATTTACTTATCTGTATGTTGTGTTCCATACATACCACCTTCCCAAATGGAATGTAAACTTATTGAGGTCAGGGAATATTTCCTTTTGTCTTTGCATCCCCAGCACCTAGTACACTAGCTTGTACTTAGAAGACACTTTCTAAGCACTTGTTGAATAAATGAATGAATGGATGGATGGATAGACAAATGGGTGGATGCTGTTTTGTTAGAAACTGGCTAGAAAACCTCCAGCAATTCTTGAAAGCAGAAGACATGGAACACGTGCAGAGGGATCTGTTTTAGTAAGTGATGATTAACCATCATCCTAGAAATATGTCGGCCACACATACTATCAAGTAACTTGAGCATAGATTTGATCTTAAATGGAAATATGGCAAAAGAGACTTGAGCCTGAGAACATGTGGAACATATTTTGAAATGAATGAGCATTGCAATGAGTATTTCTTGGCCACCAGGAAGGAAAACTGCAATAAAATAAGCTGCATATAGACAACGATAACAAATAATTATGGTATCCAAAGCTGTAAGGTGATTAATATTGCAGTGACTTGAACATAAACAGCAGATTTAAGAAGAGGGAAAGGGCAAATTAAAGCATATCTACCCCCTGAAAAGCAGGATTTGTCCAGATAGCAAAAAATCACAGCCCATCATGATTTTCTCTATTTTCAAGAAGCTTGCGATAAAGAAAGGAAAAAGTTAAACTGAGGAATCCTGTATGAATTTTCTATGTGCATCTCTTACCAGACAAGGTCCTTTCCCACATAATCCACAGTGCTGTGGATAAAGTGCTGGATTGGAGTTAGAAGAGCTAAGTTTGAATCTGGGCTTTGCCACTTACTAGCTATGTGACTTTAGGAAAATTATTTAATTTCTCTGGACCTCAAGTTCCTCATTTGTAAAATGAGGGGGCCTTTGGGCTGGGTGACCTCTGAGGTACTTTCCAGCCTTAAATCCAATTCTAGGATTCTGTAAACTGTAACATTTTTTAAAAATGAAATCCATTGTTATTACTTTCAAATGTAACATGAACTAGGGTGAAAAATGCGGCCAAGGAAGAGTTTCTACCCAGATCTGCTTTAAAATGCAGATAAAAATCACATGTGAATTCAGTTTTTTCTTTCTTCCCTCACCTCATCCCGCAATCTTAAGCCTGAGTAACTGAGAAGTTTATTGCTGACAGGTATGCTAAACAAAGCCCAGTGATTTTATTGGTGGAAATCATACATAACAAAGGCTAGAATGTAAGGCACAGATTTAAGGCAGAAGCCAAGAGTGGCTTCACCTATCTTTTTTGCTCTTTTATCCAGGTTAATATGCATGGCAAGTTGGAGCACTGTGAGGTATCAAGTAAATCTCATCTCCCCAGTTCCACCAGTTCTTTTGCAGGTTTGTTAGATAGATAGATAGATAGATAGATAGATAGATAGATAGATAGATAGATAGATAGATAGATAGATAGATGATAGATAGATCAATCATTTGTTAAGTGCTTACTATATGTGTGGCAGGACCTGGGAATACAAATACAAGAAAAAAAAAGATAATCTCTGCCCTCAACAAGCTAACATTCCTCTTTTTGGATTTTTTTATTCATTTTGAAAAATACAAATAGACAAAATAAAAAGAACATTTTCATGTACATAGCACAATGTAAAAATAGGATTCGATATAAAATCATAAATATCCATTTCACACTGTTTACTTTAAAAAAAACCTATGAAATAAATACTATACCATTTTCAAAGCTACCGTGCTTTTCTGTGCTTCCTTTTACGTTTTCTTTTTTTCTCTACTGCGTGCTTTTTTTCTCTCTCTCCCTCCCAACCTTGCCCTAGAGAAGGCTACCATTAGACACAAATATGTGTATATGTGTAAAATCATATGATATATCCTTCTATTCATCAGCTCTTTCTCTGCATGTGCCTTCATAGGTCTCTTATAGCTGATTTGAGTATTTATAATACTCAAAATGACTTGGTCATTCAAAGTTGTTCTTAGAACAATATTGCTGTTACTGTATAAAACATTCTCTTGGTTCTGCTCATTTCACTCTTCATTATTTCATACAAGTCTTTCTATGTTTTTCTAAAGTCAACCAGCTCATCATTTTTATAGCACAGTAGTATTCCATCATATACCACAACTTGTTCAGCCATTCCCCAGTTGAAAGGCATCCCCTCAATTTCCAATGTTTGCCATTACAAAGAGAGCTGCTATAAATATTTTAGAACAAATAATGTCTTTTCCTTTTTCCCTACTCACTTTGGGAAACAGACCCAATAATAGTATTGCTGGGTCAAAGGGTATGTGGTTTTTTTGTACACCAAAATTGCATGTGTCTCATATATGGGCCTCTTCATGCCTATTTCTTAGTATCTTCCCTATGTATGTGCTCCCACATGTGCACTCCCTGGTCATGTCTCCTTTCTATACGTAGACTCCTTCACAGGTCATGTGGCTACTTGTGGAAGAGCATGCCTGTGTACATATGGGGGGAAGGATCTTTTCTTGATCCCTTTTATTTTATTATGCTACACTATGATTTGACTTTCTATGCTATTTGATCAAATGTCTTTTGCTTTGAATTATATGTCATTTCTGCTAAACTAAGTGTCAAAGTGAACATATCACTGGGGCTCTTGAGCTATGATTTTGAATGATTTACTGACCTACAAAATGCCTTCAACCTGGAGCAGCTTTCTGGAGGTTTCCATGTAAAAGGATCCCCAGGAGCCATACTGAAATGACTAATTTCCTTACCAGAACCTTTTTTTTTTCATCAGTCATATAGAGACAAATTTCAGTCCAGTTCTGTATTCATGTGATTCTGACTTCTTAAATTGGTAAGGTTCTCATTCACCAGGTTTCTTTTGTATACATTTATATTTGTTATCTTTACATTTCTATAAATATATTTATTTTATATTTCTGCTATACATTTCTACATATTTTTATATATACTTGTGAACTCTTTAAAAGTAGGTATTGTTTCATTATTTACACTTGTGTCCCCAGGGCTTGTCCATAGTAACCAATGAAGAAATAGTTTTTGATTGATTGGTTTTCCTGTACTAAAATCATGTTGGTATGATCCTCCATGTTGCCAAGTACCTCTTGCCTTCCCATTCCAGGAAGTCCAGTCTAGCTACTAAGTAGGAGAGCTAAGGTTTGACGGTGACAACAAGACAACTATTCTAGTAACTTCTTCATAAGACCACTGTAAATGATGCTAAACCTAGGACAGCCCCTATGCCTATTCTTTGGTAATCTTGTAATTGATCATTTGCCTGGTCTAAAACCTGAAATGGGAAGAAAAGTTGTCTTCTTTAAAGGTGCAAATAGCTATTTTCTTTTCAGATCTAAGATTTAAAGGGTAATAATGATCCTCAAGTCATTATTCATTCAACAAGACTTTAAAAAAATTTTCAGCATTTCTGGTTAAGAAGGCAGTGTGAAAGGTCCTAGAGGAACTCAGCCTTCTCTACAAGTACCCCAGCAAAAATATAAATAAATATTTTCATGTCATTTTCTTGTTACTGAAGATTTAATTAAGTGGTGAAAAATTTCAGCTATGAAGGTCACCTGCCTACATCTACCAGGCTTAGGGGATCTTAGAAGACCATCATCATTGGGGATTAGGGATTACTTCATCTAAAGCTCTTAGCCTTTCTTTGTTGGCCCAACACACAAAGGGCATTTTAAGCATCCATGGCACGTATGTAAAGAGGAATAATTAAGAGTTGGCAGGATTACAACACATGCCAATGATATACTCAGAAAATTCAGCTTTTTTCATTTATTTGTTGCAGGCTGGCCTTGGTGGTTGTCCATTTGACTCTTCTTGAAATGGAGAAAATGGTACTGGGCTGCTGTCTGTTGTTCTTTGGACAAATCCTACTTTTCACTGCTGAGGCCAGGGAGAGGAACCTCCCATGGCCATTGTCAAGAGGCAGAAATGCTCTGGCCCATCCCCAGACTGCTTTACTTGGTAAGTTATTAAGTATTTTTCTTCAGGACACCTGCATCTGTGTCTCCTGCCTTAACCTAATTGTAAGCTCCCTGAAGGCAATGATTATTTCTTAAATAAACTTTTTCTCAGCTCTAGCACCTGGCAAAGTACTTAATAACTGTTTATTGAATTGAGTATTCCAAGAAACAAAAAACAAAAGGAAGAAATGATTAACTAGACATTCTCCCTTAGAGGATGTAAGGTTCTTGAGGATAAGGACTGTTTGGGATATTATCTTTCTGTACACAGTGCTGAGCACAGTGCCTTACACATAGAAGGTGGTTAATAAGTGCTTATTGATATCAAAACCAGGGATAAAGACCCAGAAGAGGAAATTTCTGTTATTTTTTTTGGTGTTTATTATGGAGGAGGGTCTTTTACAGACTGTTGATCTGTACAGCAATGGCTTTTTAGTCGTTTTTCAGTCTTGTCTGACTCTTCATGATCCCATTTGGGGTTTTCTTGGTAAAAATACTGGAGTGATTTACCATTTCCTTCTCCAGCTCATTTCACAGAGGAAGAAACTGAGACAAACATGGTTAAGTGACTTACCCAGAGTCATATAGCTACTAAGTGTCTGAGGCGAGATTTGAACTCAGGAAGATGAATCTTCCTGACTTGAGGTCCGGTCACTATCCACTATGCCACCTTGCTGCCCATTGATGTACTTAGAGTGGTGGAAAACAACTACAATGAATCTGGAAAATAATATTAAACATCTTAGTTTAAAATTTAAATATAATATAGTCTTGTTACTTTGTACCAAGTTAAATACACAACATAAGACTTACATTAGAAAAGGCCGTTGTTTGCTTAATCTTCAGAATTTTGTGTGAAATTATTTTGATGACATCTTTCTTACAACAGTAGGTGTTAATATATTTTCCAACATAATATGGTTTGGGAAAGTAACAAGACTACCTCATAGCAAAGTTCATTTGGTACTTGGAACCAAATCCTCAAAGATAGGGACTTAGGGGAAAGATTATCTCATTTAATCCTCATACCGACCCTGCAAGGTTATTCAGTGCTGTCTCATTCCACAATGAATGCCATCCTTCCATAGAATATAGAATAGAGTTTAGAGTTACAGAAGTCTTAAATGTCATCTAATCCAGCCCCCTCATTATTAATAATAATAATAATAATAGCTAACATTTATGTAGCATTTTAAAGTTTGCAAAATGCTTTATAAATATTATCTCCTTTGATCCTTATACAACAACCTGGGAAGTAGATGCTATTATTGTCCCCATTTTGCAGATGAAGAAACTGAGACAGGCAGAAGTTAAGTGACTTGCCCAGGGTCACACAGCTAGTAAATATCTGAGTCTGGATTTGAACTCAGCCCTTTCTGACTCCAGGCCTGGCACTCTAGCTACTGTGCCATTTAGCTGCCCCAACTAAAACCCAACTCTTCTTGACTCCAAGAGAACTAATGTTGGTCAATCAATAAATATTTATTAAGTACCTATTATGTGCCAGGCATTGTGCTAAGCATTGAGGATACAAGGAAAGGCAAAAAAATCCCTGTCTTCAAGGACCTTATAGTTCAAAGGAAGAAGCAACATGTAAACAACTATGTACAAATAAAATTATATTCAGGATAAATTAGGGGTAGTCTCACAGCGAAGGTACTAGAATTAAGGGGGATTGGAAAAGGCTTCCTTTAGAAGTTGGGACTTAAGGAAATCTAGGGAAGCCAGTAAGTAGAGATGAGGAGAAAGAGCATTCCAGGCATGAGGGACACAGAGAGAAAATGCCTAGAGCTGAGAGATGGAGTGTCTTGTTTGTGGGACAGAAAGGAGGATGGTGTCACTGGATGGAAGAGTAAGTAAATAGTGGGAGGAAGGTGGAGGAAGACTGGAGAGGCTGGAGAGGGGAACATTATATATTGAATGTCAAACAGAAGATTTATGGGACTTGGGCTTTAGGAAAATGACTTTGGTGGCTCAAAGGAGGATGGACTGGAATGGGGAGAGATTTGAGGCAGGCAGACTCACCAGCAGGCTATTGCAATAGTCCAGGGTTGAGGTGAGAGGGTCTACATCAGAGTGGGTGGTGGTGTTAGAGGAGAGAAAGGGCCATATCAGAGAGATGTTGCAAAGGTGAAATCACCAGGCCTTGGCAATAGATTAGATATGAGGGGTTAGAGAGGAATTGAGAATGACATCTGGGCTGGAGACTGGAAAGATGATGTCACTCTTGACAGTAATAGGAAAGTTTAAAGGAGAGGAGGGTTTAGGGAGAAATATGGTAAGGTCAGTGTCTTATGGTAAGAAGAGGGCTGGGACAGATCTTTGGGGGATACCCATGGTTAATGGATAAAGATCCAACAAAGGGGACCGAGAAGGGGTAGTCTAAGAGTTTTACCCACTAGAGTACTCCCTCTCAGTCTACTTTGTTGGATCTTCATCCACTAACCACGGGTATCCCTGAAAGCTCTGTCCCAGCCCTCTTCTCTTCTCTCTCTCTACCACTTTACTTGGTGATCTTATCAGTTCCCATGGATTCAATTATCATCTCTATGCTGATGATTCTCAGACGTACATATCCAGCCCGAATATCTCTCCTGACCTCCATTCTCCCATCTCCAAGTGCCTATTGGACATCTCAAACTGAATATCCCATAGACATCTCAAAATGAACATGTCTAAAACAGAACTCATTGTCTTTACTCCTCCTCAAGCTCTCTGTTCTTACCAATTTTCACTGTCAAGGAAAATATTCTCCTCCCAGTCACTCAGGCTTGTAACCTAGCGGCCATCCTCCACTTGTCAGTCTTTCTCACCTCCCCTATCTAATGAATTGTCAAGTCCTGTTAATTCTACCTTCCCATCTCTCCAATATGTCTCCTCCTCTCCTCTGACACTGCCACCACTCTGGGTCAGGCCCTTAGCACCTCACGCTTGGACTATTGCAAGAAATCTGATTGTTCCCCTGGCTCATATATCTCCCTACTCCTGTCCATCCTCTACTCAGCTATCAAATTAGAGGTAACTAGGTGCTGCAGTGATTGTTGGACTTGGAAACAAGAAGACCTGAGTCCATATTTAGCCTCAGATACTCACTAGCTGTGTGACCCTAGGCAAGTCATTTAACCTCTGTTTGCCTCAGTTCCTTCATTTGTAAAGTTGGAATAATAGTACACACCTCCTAGGATTGTTATAAAGATAAAATGAAATAATGTTTTTGAAACACTTTTCAAATCTTACATCATTATATAAATTCTAGTTATTAATATTTAATTAATCTTCCTACAGTGAGGGTCTGATACTGTTATGTCCTGTCAATAAATGCTAGAGGTTCCTATTACCTCAGCCTCAAATGTAAAAATCTTCTGTTTGGCTTCTTAAAGCCCTTTATAATTTGGCCCCTTCTACCTTTCCAATCTTTTTCTACCTTAATACTCTCTATCTTCTCCTTCCCCCTCCTGAATACTCTATGATGTAATGACACTGACCTCCTTGCTATTCCTTGCACAAGACCCTCCATTTCCTAACTCGGCATTTTCTCTGGCTGTTCCCCTATGGCTGCAATTCTCATCCTCCTCATCTCTGCCTCCTGGCTTCCCTGATTTCCTTCCAATCTCTAACTAAGTCTTGCCTTCTACAAGGAGCCTTTCCTGAACCTCCCCCCACCCTTAACATTAGTGCTTCCTCTCTGTTGATCATCTCTAATGTATACATCTTATTTGTACATAGGTTTTTGGGAGGTTACCTCCACCATTAGACTGTGAGCTCCTTGAGGGCAAGGACTATCTTTGGCTGTTCATTGTATCCCCAGTGCTCTGTATGGTGCCTGGTGCATTGTTGATGCTTAATAAATGCTTGTTGACTTGACTGACTAATTTGACTCGACTTGGAGTCAGGAAGACTTAGGTTCAAATTATCCTTCTTAGCACTTACAGGCTATGAGACTCATCCATTTACTTAACCTCTCTGAGACAGTTTCCTCATTGGTAAAGTTGGGATATAATACAGGCTAATACCAATACTATGGTCCTCACCTCACAGAGCTGTTTGTTGTGAGACTCCAGGGCATAATGTCTGTTAAATGCTTTGCAAATTTCAAAACATGACATAAATATCAGTGATTGTTAAAAACCATATCCAGACATTTTTCCATTACATGATACCTGCCCTGTTATCCAAAAGTAAACCCCAGATCTTTGGCTAACAAAAACCTGGAAACATTCATGGGGAGCTGAGATGGAAGTGTCTCTGTTTTTAGGGAAGGAAGAAGATTTACAAAAGCCTGGTTTTTACTAGTGTCATCCCCCCTCCCCCTTTTTTTTTGGCAGGGGAAGGTGGGGGCTTTGTTTATTCTCCATGAAACAGAGGGCAAAGAGGGATAAGCCACCTACCAATCAATGTTTATTTATTAAGCGCACACTATGTGCCAGGCACTGTGCAAAGGACTGAAATCACCAAGCCATGAGTACATTTGTAGGTGCTATCTTTACCTCTGATTCTTCAAGCCCGAGAAAATGACGGAATCTTTTCTCTAGGCCTGTTTGTTTTTCCTCTTTTAGTGTTTGATGTATTCCAAATGTTCCACAAGCTGGTCCACAGGTTAAAAGGGGATGGCTAGAAACTGCTCTCACCATGTTTACAGCATGTTCTGATGTGCGTCTCATTTACTTGACAGCATGTAAAAGCAAAATGCAGAAGTATTTACTTTTGCTTAGAGTTTAAAACTGAGTAGAATGGTCACAATTATGAGTAATTAATCTGCACTGTTACAGCTATTATTCGTTCTTTTCTTTACATTTCCTATTGACTTATTTCAGGATTTTTATAGCTTCTGGATATCGGTCAAAGCTCCAGTGCTAACTTGCAGCTGGCATTTGTAAAGAACACATAGGGACAAACAGGGCAGGCATTTTTGTACTTCTTAGAAGTAACAATAGCTGACAGCTTCATTTTGAGGGATTCCAGACGTGTGTTTCCACCACATCATGGTATAATGGATAGAGC